GAAAGAACAGGTGTATTTCACTATTGGACTTTGCAGATGGCAATTTTTAGTCAAATGCAATTTTATAATTTAAAAATTGTGCATTCAGCGGTATACCACATCATCTTAAAATTTAATATTCCATATTATTTATTGTTACAGTTGAAAGGATTCCAATCATAATATTAACAGGGAAGACTGATTCCCCTAAATGAACCAGTTAAGAGAGACATTATAGGTATTATGAACAAAGATTGTTACTGTTGCAGCAGTTACAGCTCAACAAACTGAAATAATGTTCATTTTAAGTGGCTTCATTATCCATAAATAAATTTCTTTAGTTAACTTTATTCCGATTGAACAGAAATTTGTTATGATTCCTCAGTATTCCATAGGAATGTTTGAACGCTTGGAATAAAGTTAACTACTATGTAGTTTAACAAAACCACTGACCCACTGAGCTTATTTTTTGAGCTCTTTTAATTGAAATTTTGTGAATCAAATAGCAAAGCCAAAGAGTTTTTCACATGTTCATAGCAAAAAGGAGATTAGACTTGCTCCAAGTCTCGCTCGTTATTTTTTCCGTTGGCGAGTCGCCGAATTCAAATTTCGGCACTTCAGTTTCCGACAGATTTCCGAAGGGAATGGCAGAAAAAAATGAAAAGCGAGCGAGACTTGTAAAACTCGGCATCTCATTAGTATTCGCGGACAGGATTCTGTCCGCTGACGTAATATATCGACCGATTCTTAACCAATGAGGAGCAAGAACATGAGAGACCAAATCTATGTCAGGGGGGAGTCGACTTTGTCATTTATCGTCGACCATTGGTAAAATTTGATTTGTTTCTTGTATTTATTAGCCCAAAAGTTATGGGAAAAAAGCCATCGAAGCAGTTATGAATGTTCTAAAGCTAGTAAATCTTAAAAATTATTGGACGGTAGCTATATTAGCAGTCTTCTTGAGGGAAAAGATTGTTTTATTTCGCAGCCAACGGGTTCAGGAAATTCCACTGTATATCACTGAGTTATTCCCGTTTGGTTTCGAAGCATTCCAATGAAAAAATGATGTGGATTTTGAATCCAAATCACAAGAGATTTGTCTTATCCAAGACCACAAAGTGTAAAATTCTCGTCATCCAGCCTTTGATTTCCTTGATGTGAGATCAGTTGAGAAAATTAGAAAATTTAGGAATAAAATCCTGTCGGCTTCATTGAGATTACGATGAGCCATCTCCTATAATACATGTAGTAACGACTATCTCTTTGTTGTGCAATGATTTTTAAGGCTGAACGTGTGCTCCTGGAGCATGATTTACAAATATCTTTGAAGTCCGTGGCATGAATAGTCACCAACAAATAATTTTCGATCTCAATACAAAACGAAGTCCTTTTATTATTATTCAATAAATGTGCTGTATTCAAGAGCAATGATAATGACCCAGGCTGGACGGCGGGCAAAAGCGTTGCGTATTGTGAATGCTGCGAGAGAGACAAAAAAGAAAAGAAAGAAAAACAGGCAAAAAGTGCAGAGTGCAATGCCATTCTCCGTTTTCTGTTTTGTAGTACTGCATTCCATATAAATAAATGCCCGTTTTAATTGTGGTCGAGCGCTATATTAGGGTTTTCCGATTTTATGTAAGTTTGATATGATATAAAGTCAATTAAAGTAGTATTTGAATAAAAATGACCACAATAATACATTACATGGCTTGTCCAGGATTTGAACCACGCACCTATGGAGATCAAGTCAGCGGAAGTTTAACAACTAAACTAAGGCGAAGCGATACAAAGAAAGCATTCGTTATTTAAAGTCTATACTACTCTTTTTGTGCAACGCGACTGAAGTCCTTCCTCTTTGTCGAAAGATGTGTTAGGTTTTGAAAATATAGAAGAAAAAGTAATGTTCGGCTAATACTGACAGTTCATTTTGACTCTTTCATACATATCGAATAACCTGCTTTGTACTCAAAGATGGGGCCGCTAAATTTTGATTTTATTTGCTTGTTTGGTCAGCTATATCATAAATTTCAAATATACCTATTTCTCGTACGTTCATTCAAAATAGCTTGATCTTTATTCGATTGATTTTTCTGAAAAGTTTCAAAATCCATTGTTCAATATATATTATAATTGCTGAAGGAATTTCAATTTCTAGTGGACGAAAAAAGGTACAGTTATCGTCTCAAAAAACTCATTAACGAGGTGGAATTCTAAAAACATTATTTCTGACTGACAATCATAAAGACATACAACATTTTTTAATTGCATTTATTTATTTATTAATTAATTGTTTTCCAACTTATGGCTCAACGTTTCGGACAACCAGCTTTCTACGGTTCGATAGAAATCCACATGTAGCCAAGACAAACGGAAGAAGTGGCCTTTTGTGTCGAAATGTTGTAGATGTGCCGTGCTTCGATAGATTTTTCTCGTACTCATTAATAATTCATGCGTAAACCAGCCAATAAATGGGCTATTTTTGGGTCACATGATGTTACTTGAAGCCTGGTATAAGTCCTGTGAGTAACTGGAACAAAATTAATTGAGTCCTAGGATTGAATTAATTTTGTTCCAGTTACTCCAAGTCCAATAATTAATGAGATGAGAAGTCATTTCAAAGCCTCCAATATCGGACTGGACGGGATTTCAAGTCTGCGCAATTAATCGGCTGCGCCTCGCACTCGAACTCCCGTCCAGTCCTCATTGTCGGCTTTGAAATATTACTTAAAACCCCAATTGCATGTTCAATCTTTACCCTGATAGACCGTAAAATCCTATTAGCGTTTCGTTGCCGTTGGTTTCGCACAACCGTCCTACGAAGGGGCTTTATCAACGGTACAGTAGCGGGATATCCTCCATCAGCAGCAAACCTCGCTCCTCTTGGCAAAGCAAATTGTCCTATGCCCAACTGTGGAATCATCCCATAGGTGTGCGAGTTCGCACCATCTCCACACTGTTCTTCGAATTGGTCTTCACAAACTCAAACTTCAAGTTCCTCGTTAGACTCTAGTCCGCAGCCAATGGTTATAACAAAGAAAACTCCAGTACACACGTACACAGAATTACAATTAAAAACTGAACTTTTTGAGTTTTAGTATGCTTACTTTTGGAGTTTATATGCTAATCCTTCTATATAAATAACCCCCGTTCCTAATCCCTAGGGTTCTTTAAGGCCGGTTTAGACGGTACGATTTTCGCCTACAACTATCGTATACAACACGTTCGCGTCTGTCGTAGGCGAGTTGTAGGCTTGATTTACACGCCACGACTCGAGTTGTAGGATGGCGCGAGCGTGTTCTATACGATAGTTGTAGGCAAAAATCGTACCGTCTAAACCGGCCTTTAAAAAGACGAACGCGATGAAAAAAGAACTATGAAGTTCCCTAAGAGTAATTTTTTTATGCGATCAAACTCGAGAAATATTATTTACACATATTCTTGTAAATTACAGTTATTCCAGTACATTCAAACCCCTCTAATTGGAATCAGTAATATTTTTAGCTATGGCTTTGTTCTCATTCACTTAACTCGAACAATAAATTCCAATTCAGCCGGAATTCCGCTAAATCGGAAAACCCTATTTCGCCATCGCAAGGATATGCATTAATCAGGAAAAGACAAACRAATGTCCGTGCGTTCCCCCGTGCATTTTCATGTCCAATTAAAATTATAATAACAATGGGGGAGTGAATTAAGATTAACATTGGTTCGACGTTTGCCGCCACGTAGGCCCTTTAGTCGGCCTTCCACCCAACCTATGTTAAATAGGTTCGGTGCGACGTTAGTCCGACGTTTGCCCTGGGCCTAAGCATATCTATTTTATTACTTTCATTGCCATAAAAATATTCTATACAAAAACGTAAAACTTTTAATATGAACAACCAAAAGATCGTTAAGTAAAAAACGCATCGATATTTGCTTACCAGCTTTCATGATGATGCAGTTTTGCCCTGAAAAAGTCCGGAACTCTCCAAAATTTCAAGACAAATGAAAGACATCCATTGTAATTTTCACTAAACCTGATATCGTGTTGAGTTATCTGTAGTTACCTTTCATTTTTCAAAGTAAAGCCAACCAAAAAAGCAAAAACATGTCGACCATAGAGGACTTTGTGGAAGGACCCTGTGGGGTGGCTGGTGGTGGGTCGTTGCACGTTACAAAAATCCTGTGCGGGAGAGTAGTAAGGTCGAAGTTCGTTCTCGCCCGAGTCTTACGCAGGTAAGAACCTTGACATAACATGGCAGAAAATTTTCTGCAAGCGAAAAATTTTCTGCACGAAAATGTTACTCATAGAAATCTTGTAGGAAGAGCCAAAAGAGTTTTAAATAAATGAATCCACCATCTTAGGGATTATTTTGATCAAGTTTTTTGTGGAGTTCGAGGTTTAAAAGACGAAGAAATCGTGGTTTAAAGTGTGTTGTTTTTTAGGTAGCTATGAAATAAGTATGATAGGGAATCGCACGATCTCCAGTACAATTTGTAATTTATAGGTACTAGTGATGTTTTGAAAGTTGAAAAAGCCTTCAGGTGAGTCCACAAAATTGAGCAACTTAATTGGGACTCTACAGAGTACAATTTGGGATCGAATTGTACTCTAAGCAGAACCGAGTAATTTTGTTGAATGTGTTGTAATAAGGCTAACTATAGAGGAGTTTTCGTATGACTGTGAAAAGTTCAGTGCCGTAAGCGTGACGTGCCGTGACCATGATACTTTCTAGAATTTTAATTGGCTGTTTTTTTTCACGCGCAATATGATTGGTCTAAAAGTGCCGTGATCTTGGCGTGACCGTGTCCGCGCCGTGTTTATGACGTGTTCCGTTTATTTGATGGATGGAGAGTAAATTCTCGTGCAATGTGATTGATCTGGCGTATCCCTTGCTGTGTATAACTTTTCAAAGTCATACGAAAACTGCACTATACTATGTAAACATTCTTGCATACTTTCCCCCAGCAATTTTCTCTAACTTCACGTGTTTCATTTTTTAATCGTAAAGCCAATGCTATTTCATTTTAGTACTTACACAGCCAATGCCTTCAAACGCATTAGTTAGCTGTCCAAAGAATATAGGAAATGTCATCCAGTTTGCAAGAGAAATYTCTTCTAGCTGGAAATGCAAACCTGTAGAGATCAAGTGATCGAAAAGTTCACGTTATATACCCATCTATGCCTCGTTTGTATAATGCGCCATTTGGTACTAGAACCTTTTTTTTACCATTTTCATTAATCAAGTAGAATTTTTATACTCAACACAAAAATAAAAAGCTTTCTCTCTTTAAGACAAAAGTTCCCTAGTGCGCACATCTGAACTGATTACACCCGCACATGTGGGGCTTGAATAGCAAAAGTAAAAAAGCGCAGAAGCCCGAAGACAGAAAAAACTGAAGTTCGTAACAAAGGCTAAATGACCTTTTTCTGAAGTATATACTATATACTAACCTTTCAAAACATATGTTAACAGTCCAGTAAATCCACCAAGTATGGCAATGTTGGCAATTCCACTGACAGGTCCAAGTTTACGGACATTGCGAATGAAAGACATTAACACAAGAAATGGATACGGTATGAGGAGGAGGAGGACAAAACCTGGTGCAGTTTCTTGGCCAACAAAAGGAGGTGCCATTGCAGAAGCATTTCGCAATGCTGACTCAGCAGCAGTGTCGGACAACGGTATCGAACTGACGTCAAGGGCAAGTCTTCTAGAGGAATTATAGAAACGAACTGGGAACATATCTTTTACTGTGTTTCCCATGAATATAAAATAAGCTACACAAAACCCAGTCTGGGTTAAAATAAGAGAAAAGTTGACAACTCTGATGCCCCAATCTCCAATTGCAATTTTTCCAATGTCGCCTAGAGTCATTTCTTTTTCTAAGCGATCCTTGATTTCTTTCATTTCTAGGTGACATTCCTCATTTTGTAAATCTTTATAATGCTGGGATGAATCTAGCACCATGTGAACTGCCATTTCTTTGCACTTGATAATCATCTGGCAACAGTGATCTGTTATTAAGGCAATCACTACCAGGGTCACAATCCCAAGCTGAGATTAAAGAATCACAAAAGTCAGAGATAACTAAATACTAGCCTCCTCCGCTTACTACTACATATATTCTATATTCTCTGTTGGGATCCCTGTATTAAATTTTATAGCAGAGAAAAACTAGGAACGAGAGAGAGGAGGAGGATTGGGGACGAGGGAGGGAGAGAAAGCGGAACCCCAAGGAGCAAAAATAGCCAAGGAGATGCCTGCGGAGGAGGCTAACTAAATACCTATATATACATGTACAATAGAGTACAAACACTAAAAGTGTGCAACACTTTGCACTATTTAGTTGAAATAGTGCTAAATTAAACAATAGAAAACAATAGGATTAGCATAATTTAGCAGTATTTAGTGGCATTTATGTTACACACTTATAGTGTTTGTACTCTATAAGGGGGGAAATATATAAAATTTACAAATGTAAAGTGGCTTGGATGACCAGGTAAAATTGTGACCTTGTCTGTGAAAACATAAGAAAACTCTGGGTTTTGTTGTACAGCTCTTTTTACACATCATTCAAAATGATAAATATTGTAACAAACAGTGGAATTAACCAATTCAATATGCACATACCGCCAAACCACTCTGTTTGAATGCAAATGGAAGAGACAAATAGCTTGTACCAATAAAAGCCTTGAGAACATTAGCGAAGTCTGTAAATTGCTGCCATGACGATGGGGGTCTGCCAAAATGAAACAACATAAAACAATAAAAAAGGTCATTATTAACTTAAAAGTTATTGAAGTTATGCAAACGTAATTTTAATCAGACTGTATCGATATTTATTATATATTCATCCCACCACACTGAATATACAATAAATAATAAAGCACTTCGAAGTTATTTAAGCAAATATGTGAATAAATAAATATACAACAACTTTGACCTGTTGCCCCAAATTTGACAGATATTAATAATAATAATAATTATTATTATTATCATTATTATTATTATTATTATCATCATTATTATTATTATTATTATTATTATTATTATTAT